GCCCGTGGAGCTGTCGCAGAATCCGCATGTGAGTCCTTTCTCAACCGGGCGGAGTGCTGGGGTGAATGCGTCGGGCGTGTGCCTTCATATTCTGCACGGGCGAGAAGACTCTGCCACAGATTTGGCAGAACGGCGACAAGCTGCTGCTCTTCGTTCGACGAGAAGGCGCAGTCGACACGACAGGCGGAGGTTCCGGAGGATGTCGGGGTGGATCCGTCCCTTCATTGTGGTAGGGGCGGCGCTACCGAAACAGAGGGCCGCTTGTGATCTGCAGGGCGCTTGCGATTCTACCGAAGAGTGGGCAGGAGCAGCATCGTGCCTGTGCGCGGAGGCGCCACTCTGGGCACAACGTTTGGCCGGGCACCAGGGATGTGTTTTTTGTTGCACCGACGAACGCCTGGAGTGCGGTGTGTGCGCCTTCCTCTTCCTCCTGGGCCCCCTTCCAGTACAGTCGCCTGACTGCAGTGTGGAAGTCCACGTGCCAGATTGGGACGCCCCTTGCGGGAGGTATCGCGCAATCGTGGCTTCTTAGTCAGCGGCCTCATCGCGTGGAATACCGCATTGTGATGGGGAGAATATAAAGCCTACGTGGTGGCCTCGCTTCACCAAGGAAAGCAAGATAATTCAAATCGCTTCAGTGGCACAGTCTCGCGCGGCCAACGGGCCGACGCGGAGCGCCTCAATTAACGAAAGGGAGTCCGTCGCCACCAGTATTCGTGTGGGCGATTGGGATTTTTCCAGACAAGAAAGTATGAGACGTCTAAACCAATTTTCAATGGCAAGGCACTCGGCTCTCTATGAGCATGCGAGCCTTCCAGCCGCTGCACGATGGGCCTCCACAGGGACATCAATTGTCTTTGTGGAGCCGCATAATAGCGCAGCGGATCCGGATGCGAGTTCAGCGAGAGATGAAGAAGCGACCGTCCATAATTCAAAATCGTAATCTCCCAGGGAAATAAAAATAATCAAAAGCCGTGTGCTTGACATCGTCAGAGGCGTCTTTGGCAAAGCGTGGCTGGTAAAAATACACTTTGTTGCAACTCATTGTGCCAGGGAAAAATTCGATGTTGAATAGAAGGAGCACGATTGTGGTTGTGGGGTATCCCAATAATGTTACAGACGCGGCGTGATTCAGTAATAACGGCATCTTTCGGAAGCGGGGTCGATGTCGCCGCTTTCCCATGCATGGAAGGCGACATAGGTTCCGAGTAGATAAGGGAACGCAAATCCCCGTGGTCGTGGAGGCGTGTATAGCGTTTGCGTTGCGTGATTGCACGGAGCCAAAGTATCTTCCGGAGCGGGAGAAGATTGGATTCCAAGTAGAAAGACGTATTTTCTCTATGTGTGCTTGGGCCAAGGGACGCTTTACTACTTCCGCGATACCGTGCCGCCGTATTGCGGAGGCAGGTGGGAGCGAGGTACGGGAAAATTGCCCCACCGTTATGAAATAGCACACTATAAACGTATGCGACCAAAAAGGATCGCATGGTGTGATGGGACGCGCCCGCCTCTGCGGCCAGACGCGGCTGATGGCGGCGTGGCACGATCTGCCTTGCAGCGGCGGTGGCGTGCACACCAAAATTGAGGGCCCGATCAATCGCATTTCCGGGCAGACGCACCGGGTGGGACCTCCAGCCTGGGTTTCCATCGCCCAGACGACGGTCCGCGGTGTCCTCGTCAGACCGCCGGTGTGGGGACTCGCAGAATAGAGCGGCTCGCTCCTGTCCGCGCTGATCTTCAGGTTGTGCTCGGTAGCCCATGTCGTTATAAGTGACAGTGCCGGTCGCATTGCCGCAGCACATGCGTGGATTTCCGCACCTGAGGCAACAAGTACGAGGCCGTCAGCGCACATGAATGCGGAGGCAGAGTAGATGTTGCCCAGGCGGCGCAGCAGGTCATCCACATGGTGGAGGAAGAGTTGGGGTCCCGGGACGCTGCCTTGCGGTACTCCAGTTGGGGTGGGTTGTTTCCGAGAGTGCCGTTCGCGAGCGCATACCTTAAAATGGCGGCCCCGCAGCTAGTTGTGCAGCCAGTGTTCGGTTCGGGGCCAAGGCGCGGAAGTCCGTCAAGCATGCAGAATAATTTCCCATGGCCAATGGTGTCGAACACAGTCGAAAAATCAACCAAGACCACGAGCGAGCGATGGCGACGAGGGTGTCGTGTGGGGGCGCCGCCTCCAGGGCGCGCATACTCCACGCTGCTGAACTCATTCAATCCACGAGTAATTTATCGATAACAAGTTTCACCACGTCCGACGTAGAACGCGAAGGTGCAAATCCAAATTGACGTGGGTGGTGTGGCAATAACGCTGACAGACGGCGGTGAATCATTCTTTCGGTTAATTGTAGTAAAGCAGAGAGTGATTTGATAGGTCTGCAACTCTCTGGGTGGCATGGGTTCTTTCCCAGGGTTGGAAATGCGAATATTGTCCTCGATTCTTCAAGGAGCCAGGCAGGCTGCCATTTGTGAAGGAGTTGTGGCGCATCGTTATAAGTCTGCTGCGCAACGGGCCCGAGACGGTGCAGAAATTCGTTCAACATTTTGTCGGGGCCAGGGGCCGAGCCGAGCGAGGAGTCACGAATGGCCACGTCAAGTTCATACGGCGCGAAGGGCCGATCCATTTTCCAGCCACCAGGGAGCAAGGGAGCGCGGCGTGCAGGAGCAGTATAGGGTAAAGTGGCGCGTGAAGCTCGTACAAAATGAAGGACGAGCAGGTTTGCCTGTTGCCGAGGCGGGGCGCAAACGCGGCCAAGATCAGTGCGGAGCACATCCGATTCCAGAGGATAAGGATGCGGCGCCGCCATACCGCGAAGGCATCGCCAGCTTGGACTGGATGAAGCTCAAAGTTTTTTCGCGCGAGCTCCCAGAAGCAAAGCGAAGCCACGGCGTAAGGCTTGATTTCGTTCCTCCCTTTTTTTGGATGAATTCGGCTCGAAGCAGGCTGTCTCCAGGTGAGGCAATGTGTGTGCTTCGTGTGCTGCTTCTGCAGCGGACTCGGCTTGTTCCATTTCGTGTGTCCATATCTTTTTTGGAGCTGCCACGGCTGCCGCGGGTATGGCGCTCAGCTGCTCGTAAGATACCCCTGCGGATTTCCAACCGTGTGGACGCGGTGGCAAGAAGTTTTTCACACAACGAGGTGAAAGCAGGCCAATTCGCTTTTTGCAGAGCAAAGGTGGCTTTCTTCCGTTGAGGCAGCGTGTTGGCTAGTCGCGGAATGCCCTCATCCATCCCTGCCGAGTAAGGTATTCAACAGTGGTCCGAATCCATGGAGGGAACGGATTTCCAGCTAGAGACGCGTAGTGCGCGATACGCATTCACTTCGGGGGACGAGACATTACGATTTGCGATCCGTTTTGCCTGCGCCAGGTCATTTGCCAGCTCAAACTTCATATCAATTAAAATGGCGGCAAACTTCTCTCCTCCAGTCGTTGTTGGTATATGACCGTCCCAGAGCTCATGATGTAAATTCAATTCACCCGCGATAATAGCTGCGGGGCCTAAGCGACGGACGATATTAATAAATGCGAATTCTTGAACAGTTGCTGGAGGAGGATTGTAGAGATTCGCCACGCAAATGCCGGGACAGCCCGGTGGAAATACACGGACAGCAATGATCTTCAGGAGATCAGTGCCAGGGAGCGTCAGGCGCTCGCACGGTAAAGAGTGGCGCACCAGAATGGCAACGCCACCACCGCGCCCAGTGCGGCCTGGTGGAAATCATTACGTCCAGAGCATTTTGTCGCTACGTTGCTGCGGTTACTTATTTCCTGGAGAAGAACGATGTCAGGTGGATGCTGCTCCAGTCGCGCAGCAAATGCAACCCTTTTTACGGGCGAGAGATGCCTGCAATGCTAAGCTCCCAGAGAGCGATGAAGCCATCCTCCTCGGTGCCAGGGTTCTTGTGGACACCACCGCAGCGTGTGATATCAACGGCGTGACCGCAGCGAAACGGTCGTGCAGTTTTGTCCGACAGTCTGCAGGCAGACCGCTTCACCTCCCCGCACCGAGCATGGCGCGGAACCTTCTCGAGGGGTGAAGTCACCTTGCTCTCCGTCGTGCTCGCAGCAACGCCCTGCTACACAGTTGATATACGCAACCAGAGCCCCAGCACCGCGACAAGGTGCGGCGTCATTGCTGGAGGGATAGGAAAAGCCGCAGCACCACCTGCTGTCATCCGGAATTTTTGTCGACGTCTTGATGCGGACGGACGCCCATTGGTTATTCAAAAAGAGGCCGTACTCCTGCGACGCATCCTGCGCTGTGAGAAGCACATCCCTCACCCCAACCGGAGTCGCCCACGCGCCGTCGGTACGCACCACATCGTCAAGAAAAAAGCAGGGATGCGTCAGGGTGACAGCAAAGTATCCGCTGGAAAGACACATCAAAAAAATCATCGCAATTAGAACAAGCAGCGCTGCAAGCCACGGGTTAAAGTGGACCAACTAACGCATGGCACACGTGAAAAAAACTTAATGGCCTCACAAGAATAAGAAGCACTGACAATTTCTCAGCAAGAATAAAAAACAATATGGGAATAACAAAGAAAGATTAAACTGTCCGTAGTCAAAGCATACCGCCAATCAAAAAAGTGTAATGGATGCACTCGACTAAAACACAAGCAAAGACTCAAAAACAATAAAGTAAAAAACAAAAAGCCGAAGCGTGGGACGACCAGCGCACACACTCTCATTGCTCCCGTAAAGCAAAACACACACACAGGGAGAGAGAGAGAGGTCGCCCACTCAATGCAATAAAAACAAAACAGAAACAGTTACGGTGCTCCGCCCATGCAGCCAGGCAGGACGGCAGCGGTGCGTGTGCTGCAAAAGAGAGCACCAACGGGCCTGCATGGGTGTGCATGCAATATATACAATGGGCACATTATGTGTGTGCTTCGTGGGATGAGGTGAGGGCGAGAGTCCATGCAAGGGGACACACACAGAGAGTGGGTGAAAGACGAGTGTGTGTGCGGGCGGTGCATGGCGCTCTCTCACTCACTCTCACGCGGCCACCAGCGCAGCCGCAGCAGCACACACAACAAGAAGAAGAAATGAAAGAGGGGAAGTGGTGTGGGAGACCGCGGTGCTGCTGTCACTGCCGCCATTCGTCGCAGTATCATTTCTTTGGGTTATGGTGGCTGTTTTTACTGTTTGTTGTGCTCTCTCACTGGGTGTAGAAGCAACGTTTTTATTATCGGCTTTGTGGTCGCTTGTTTCTTTGGGGCTAGGTCGTTGAGAATTGTCATTATTCTCATCCACCGTACTCTGGGCATCGTCGCTGTCATTTTTAGAGATGGATGATGATGTTTTTTCCGCAAGGCTGCCGTCATCGGTAATCTCCAACAGATTCGATGTGTCGCTCTCTTGATTTTGTTGCTGTGTCTCAGCATCTCCTGAAGGCTGTATCAGTGTTTCGGGCGCCGTTTCGTTTTGTGACTGTGAGTTGTCGTTCGTTTGTTCAGTTGGATCTCGTGAGAGATTTCGTGTTGGTGAGCTTTCTCCTGTTGCTGGAAGTTTCGCTTCTGGTGATGCTGTTGGCGGTGATACTTCCGGCGTTGGTTGTGGTGGCGTTGGTAAATTTACTTGCGGGGTGCTCTCAATTGAAGAAACGGTGGAAGGTTTTTCCTCCTTCATGGCACGCTTATCTTTATTGTTTTCATTGGCATTCACACCAGTGACTTGACTGTTGGATTTTTCTTGTGGATTAGCAACTTGGCGTCCTGCTTCGGGTTTGGGTCCCTCCTCCAATACCTTCACGCTGGGCGGTGTGGTGCTTGAAGGCGTTTTGATTCCACCTGGCTGCTTAATTGTTGTTTGGGGTTCCCTGCTCGGAGTGGATGTCTTACCTCCGGAGAGCTTTAAACCTTCAGTGCCTTCAGGAGGTGGAGGTGGGGGTGGACCACCAGAAGGAGCAGCATTTGAAGGATCATCTCCAAGTTGACTGCCACCACCTGAGCCGGGAGTCCCCGAATTAGAAACTCCACTTTTTCCACCACCACCACCTCCTCCAGAGCTGTCACCGGTACCGGAAGGTCCAATTGAATTTAAATCTTTCTCTTCTCCTTCTTCAGAAACATCAGCCTGTAAGGCGGTGATGGGCAATGCTGACCGAAAAGGCAGCTTCGGCGCGGCTTTATCACATCCGCTCGGCGTATTCAATGTTTTCCTTCCCAACACTTCCGACGCCATGCAATCACCCACTGCGTTGTTGTCGATACCCCCCGCATAAACCCCGCCGGCACCGCACCACAGCACGCAGAGGGCACACACCAGCAGCACACGGCCAGTCATCATCATCGCCATCATCACTCCTGTCACTTGCGTGCAGCCTTCAGCACAAAATAACTCCCCGTCAACGCAGAGCGGAAGCAAAAAGAGAGACATGTCATACAGCCACGCACCGTCCCTTCCAGCAATGAGATTCACACACCGCCAACACAACAATTAGGTGGATGCCGCTCAACAACAACAGCAACAACAATCAAAAAAAGGAGCTCTCTTCGCCCGTCCACCGTTCCTCAAACCCCCACAGTCACTATTACTGTTATTCCCTCTCCTCAGTCTCTCACATGCACGCCACGCTCACTCCAACACGCGCCCCTCCAGCACAGACCTCGGGATCGTCGGGCCCTCCCAGCACACGCAGTCCGTCATGCGCTCCCGCTGCGCCGCAACGTCCGCCACCTCCTCCCTCAGTCCAGCAGCTCCGTGTACTCCGCGTCCCTCACAATCCCCGGCATGCCCCGGCCGCGGAACACACACAGCGCCACAATGTCGTGCCGCCTCTCCTCCACAATCATGAGCGCAACGCTCAACGCGTACTGGCGCACGTGCTCCATGCGCTGCAACCACATGCCGGTCAGGTTTCCGTCATGCAATGTATCTTGTTGTCCTCCTTGTGCTTGTGGCAGCACCACAACTTAGTGTGGCCGGCGGCGTCTCAGTGCTGGAAGAAGTACGGCGCAGCAACCGTGCGGGTGTACGTGTGGCCGTACTCGCGCCTCATCGCGTCCAGCAACAACAGGCTCGGCGGCAGCTCGTCGAGCGGATTCGGGCTTCTTCTCCTCCCTCAGCGCCTCGTCTTTCTCCGCACCGTCAGCGGCCGCTGCCGTAGACCACGCTCCTGCTGCAATCACTCCCACAGAGACAGAAAAGAGTGTGTGGATGTGTGTCGAGAGCACAGCCACTGTCATCGCCAGAGAAGGCTATCGTGGCACCGTCCGTCACGCGTCAGCACACACCGAGCGACGCCCGCAACTAGCAGAGCAAAAACACAGAGGGGAGAGAAGAATGACCTCAAGAGCAGGCAACAAATTCACGCATGGCGGGCATCGTGCAGCCGTGTCAGACGGCCTCCAGCAGAATGCAAAGAGCGTCTCACACGCATCCATCCAATGACACCGTGAATCCCACCGCTGGCAGACACGCGGCGGCCTCGCCATGTCAGCACGGGACGCAAGCCAAAGCATCTCCATCACCAAGAGCATTCCCGCAGAGCACTGTGCAACTACTTTTGTGTGTGTGTGTGCTGGAGGAGCAGAAGAGAAGAGGAGCACAGGGAGGCACATCAGCACAGCAAGAGGCACAGCTGGATGGCAGCGATACATGCGGTACGGCCCCGACATCAACAATAATGCACGGTGGCAGCACACCCACATCCACAAAAAAACAAAAACAAAACGAAAGAAAAACACGGCGGCAGGGTGTGGCTGTGTGTGTGGCGCTGCGGGTGTCTGCCCGCCCTGGCCGCAAAGAAAAAAAAAAACAAGAGTGGAAGAAATGTGTGCTCCGCCCCACAGGCCCTCGTCGCACGCCCACACGTCACGGCTCCCTCAGCGCGCCGTTCGTCGCGGCCCCTCCTCATGCGTGCAGCAGGCGAGGCGCACAGGGCCGTCGTCATGAGCGTGTCGGTGGGTGTGCGAGTGGAGCAGTTGGGCGGGAAACACACGGCACCCCTCACAGGAAGAGTGCAGCAGAAAACAATTGAAAAAGGGAATGAGAGATAAAAAATTAAAACAGCAAAACAGAAATATTAAAAAACTAAAAAATGAAAAAGAAAAAAAAACGCAAAAAAAAAGTTTAAAAATTACGCACAGAAAATAAAAAGAAAAAAGAAAAAAAAAGTAGTAAACAGGAAATTAAATTTAAAATAAGCAAAAAAGGGGAAAAATTATTTGAAGAGCAAAATTAGTTCTTGGACGCAATTCGGTGGTGGGGAGGTCGCAATTGTCCCACGCAACAGCCAGTCACTCCTCACAGAGCCGCAAACCCCCACAGTCCCAACAGCAGAAGCAGCAGCGATAGCAGCAGTCCGCTCCCACGCATTTTGCCAGCATCGGTGTTATTCCCCTGCGACACATTTCCGAGGCTGCTGCTGAGTGCTGTAGCATCTATTTCCCTGACCTGTGTATTAACCTCCTCCTCCTGCCCATTCGTTCCTCCTTTTCTTGTCTCCATCGTTGGCTCGCCATCAGCAGTAGAACCGCCACCCACAGTTGGATTTCCATCGGGAGATGTCCCTGACGTCACCTGCAATACGGACTCCTCTTCGGCTGAGGAAGTACTGACAGTGGACACCGCTGGTGCGGATGCACCGCCACTGCCCGCACCACTGCTCCCCATCGACTGTCCCTGTTCCGTCAGCTGTGTTCCGGCAGGAGTGGACGAAGTTTCGGTTTGCTGAGCACTCGGGCTCACCGGAGGGATGGGAGGTATAATGGAATCAGAAGAATCTGGTGAAGGCTTCGACGGATTCTCTTCCAAAGGTGGAGTGGAGTCTTTATTCGGGTTGAAGGCGCCAATCTCTTCAGAG